AGATGACATTCACAAAAAGATGGGTTCACGAGACAACGACGGCTATTTTGAGTCTTGGTTCTTTCACTGCTACAAGTATGGCCGGAGCCACGCATGTCAACCGGGGACCAGAACACAGAGAGACGCCCGTGTTCACCTCGCTGGCAAGGGAGAAAGCCAGGCCCGGAGCTGAGAGCCAGCTGCCGCGTCCTCTGAACAACGCCGGTGTTCCCTGCGGTGCCGACGGGCACCCGCCCGCTGCTTCCCCTGCCCCAAAGCCTCGGGCTCCTGGGACGGCCAGTGTCCACCCACATCCACATCCACACAGGACGAGCATCACGCCCCGCCACGTGCTGGCTCTCCTGGGCGTGGCCGCGCTTCCCCGCACATGTGGCTGCTCCGTGGAACCCCCGTAGGATCCCGGGAGGCTCAGACCCCTGGAGGTGAGGTGATTTATCCACAGTGGAGAGCGTGAGCCAGTCAGGGCCAGTTCCCGCCTGGGGACTCTGCGATCCCATGAAACACGGAGGCCTCTGCCCACGGTCCACTGAGCCACGCCACCGTGGGCGAGGCCGGAGAAATCAGACTTCAGGTTTCCTTCCAGAAACGAGCGCTTGCAGCCAATCCCGCCTCCTTTTCACTCTTCCCCGGTCCACACGGGGCGATGGAGGGAGGACCTTTTAGCCCCACTTCTCTGACGTTAACCGAGGCGTCGGCAACAGCTTGCGGAGGGAACTGCACAGGCCCACGTCCTCACGGCGTGTCAGCCCGAGCGACGGCGGCTGGAGCGGGACCGCCTCTGCACACGGGCCGTGCGGACACGTGTGGCCACAAAGCCCAGCAGTGGCTCCGGGAAGACGAGGGTGCGCGGGAGCCAGCGCCGGCGCGGCCTGGGACTCGGGGCAGATTAGCATTTCTTCGAAGTGTACAGAAAAATAAGTGTCAGAAAAGTCCCCATACTCAGCACTTGCATTTTTAAGAACAAGGCTAACCGATGAAATGAAACGTACGCCCTGTCGCTTCAGTGCCCCGTCACCATGAGCCCCGTGAGGTGCCCTCGGTGGCTTCGTGATGGCACGCGGGGGGCTCTCCGTGCCGGGCGTGTGACCGGGTGGCTTGGCTGTGTGGCAGACACGGGGACGCAGGCAGGGGCAGGAAGGGTGTGAAAGCAAACAATGCGGCTCCCAGGGTTTCCGGCCGATGCCCAGCCCCCGGCCCCGCGGCCCTCACCCAGCACCACCTGCAGCCCGAGCTCGATGTCCCACCGGCAAGGAGGGCGCACCCAGCCTTCACACTCACCCCAGGGCGACCACGCCGGTACCAGGCAGCATGCGGGCACCTGTCCCCACGCCCGGTGCCACCCAGACACCAGCGGTAAAGCTCGGAGTGGGGCCCTCCCCTGGCCAGTCGGCCGCCCCACCTGCTTGGACAGCGCGCTGTGTTCGCCGAGCAGCCAACGGGCCCTACAGTGGCCGGTGGCGTCTGTCCACGTCAAGTCCCTGGTCTGACCAGGACAGCAGGTGCTTGTTTCTGGCCACTTGGCTGTCCAGACTGAAAGCAGCTTTGCTCTGTGTCGGCCAGAGTTGGCCACACCACTAACCTTCATGCGTCGCCCTCTGCAGCAGCTGTGTGCTTTGGATGCAACCCGGCGACTAGGTGTGTGCCTGCCCCAGTGAGAAAAGGCCCCCAGCAGAAAGCACTGTGCGGTGCAGGGTGGCAGAGTGTTCGCACCTGAGTGCAGGCACACCACCCCGTCTGCCGCACGGGCCCCCAGTCTGCGGCGGGTGCACAGGTCTCATCCGAAGGCTCTTGTGGTTACAGAGGGGAGGGGGACGCAGGGCTCAGGGTCGCCTCGCTGGCCCCTCTATAGGCACGTTCCATCAGCAGTCACCCCACACACCCCTCCAGGAAGACCCCCACTGCTGGTGCAGCTTCTCCGTACCAGAGGAGAGCCAACAGGAATCAACTCGACAGATAAAGTCGAGTCATTCTGTTAACAAGAGCTCAGATTAGGTTTCTCTGTGATTACATGGTTCCGTGGTGTGATAAATTGGTTAATAACAGGATTCCCAATGTAGTTGCTTAATGGGAATTCAATAATTACAGGTACCCAGAGCTGCAGCGCGAGCCCCACCCTGCGAGCTAATAACTCACAGCCTCTCTGGGACTCTCGAAATGGCTCTGATCCGGAGGGCTTTCAATACCCATCAAGCACCTTGGTAAAATTACTCCTTGTATCTGACAACCGTATTGGGTACGATATCTCAGACTCAATAGCATGGTTCCTGTTTTTCTTGTTAAATATCCAAGTTGAAGAAGTCTCTTATAAGGATTATCTGGATCACGGATAGCTCTTTTTCTCATTACAAAATTGATGGTCATCTGATAATCAGGACAATATCTGAATTCATTGTTGTATTTTAGAAAACGTCTTCACGGACCTTTCCGGGGGGTGTGGAGAGGGAGGATCCTTACCTAATTCAGTGAGATCGCCGGGGCAGCAATGATCATGTCCCTTGAAGAGAAGGAAACTGAGCCCTAAGAGGATAAGGGATGTGCCGGAGTCCCCCCTGCCCCCCAATATCAAGGGGTAACGACAGGACGAACCCATCCGTCTGCGGCGCAGGTAACAGAACGGAGGGCATGCTCACAGACACGCACGTGCGAGACGCACACTTCCCAGGACCGTCCTCAGGGGAGCGGTGCCCGAGGGTTCCAGACGAGCGGACGTGAGTTCGTGAGGTTTGCTCTCTGTGCAGGGAACCACAGCAGGACCCAGAGAGGCCTCGGGAAATTGGGCCGAAGACGAATTCTTGTTTTGGGAGCGGGGGCCACGGGCCATTTCCAGACACATCTTCAGTTTTTCCCGGAACAGCACAACCTTGGAGGATGAGCAAAGTGGGGCAGAGGATGTAGAACAAAGTGGCCCATCGGCGGGTCTGGAACTTGCTTTCAGAACTCAAGATTCTAGAGCCTCGGCTGTTTCCAAAATGTCAGAATTTGTCTGCGATGAACGGACCGCTAGCTCAATCAACAGGATTTCATGTTTGTAAATGGTTTACGGTCGCACTGGATACGAAATGTTACGAGCTCACGTAGTATCATCATCGCTGAAACTTTACTGAAATCTACTGACACTTAGCCTGGTGTTCAAGACCAGACAAGGAAGAGAAGTGTAGAATTTCTGGAAGCCAGTCAAGTAGCGGGGGTACAGGGAGGTGGGCAGAAGCAACAGCAGTGCCGGAATCCCCACAGGAAAGTGACACGGGGCTCAGGGTGCTGTCCCGAGGCCTCGGGGACCACGAAGTTAGCGAAGGTTAGGGGACCAGCTCTGGTCCTTTCAAAGTGAGGAAGAGGAGAAATTTCCTAAGAAACAGCAAATTCTTAAAATCATCATCTCTAATCCTGTCATTCTAACACAGACATTATTACTTCCGCCAAGTGTCCTCCCCTGGGGCAACATGTTTGCACACGAGGGCTCCCGTGGTGTAATTACAATTCCGGGGTTACTTTCCCCAAACGCGAAACCCGCCTTTGATAAGAACTGAGTCATGTTCAGGGCGCTGACGGCACACACCCCGCCTCCCCGGCCTCGGAGGCGCCGGCGGTCAGGGGTTCTCAGGCAGATCGGATCCACGAGGAGAACGGTATCGAGGCCCTTTCACGCCCCGACTGTTCCGGGTGAGAACGGGATTTCCGCGTGCACATTTGGCCCGTGTGTGCTAAGGGGGCTCCCGACCACACAGATTGTGGGGACCTACTCATTCCAGGTGCAGTCTGCAAACAGGCAAAGGGGTTACTCGGAGGTCACACACCACTGAGCGACGAGGATGCATTTCGAGAAAGGTGTGACCGGGCCATCGCCTTGTGGTGCGAACATCCCGAGGGCACGTACACAAACCGGACGGTACAGTCTAGCGCGCACCCAGGCTCCGCGGTCCAGCCCAGTGCCCCTGGGCTACAGCGTGTGACTACAAAACAACCCCAGATTCAGTCCCGTGCTGGCAACAAGGGCACAACCAGAGACACGGGGAACACGAGACAGCTGACACGCGGCGTAACACGGCCGCTGTGTATAAGCAACACTTTCTTTGTGAGTAGACAGAGCCCCCCCTAAAACAACACGGGGAAGAACAGCGCAGTAAACCAGAAGCCAGTAACATGGCTGTTTATCACCCTTCTCAAGTGTCATGTATTTTCCACAATTGTGTGTGATGCACTTGATGGGACGGGCAGGGTAGGTCTGTTCACACCAGCATCACCATAAGCACCTGGGCCAGGTGCTGTGCTATCACAGGGTGGCGGCTCTGACGTTATTAGGCAACAGGATGTTCAATTCCATTGTCATCCTGTGGACCACCGTCCTACAGGGTCTGTCGTTGACCAAAATGTCATTATGCATCCCTGATTATACTTGGACACCACCTGTGTCCATTGACAACCGTTCAGGGGTTCAAAATGAAAGCAAGTAAGTTATTTTTCACAGAAAAAAACCTGTTTGAAATACGGAGGATCCTGAACAACACAGGTTTGAACTTACAAGTGGGATTTTTTTTTTCCAATAAATACTGTACCATAAATGTATCTTCTCTTCCTTATGATTCTCATAATAATGTTTTCCTTGCTCTGCCTTCTTCTTTGGTAAGAATACAGTGTTATACTACGTATAACACAGAAAATATGCGTTAAGCCACGATTTACATTTTCGGAAAGGCTTCCGGTCAACAGTCGGCTATTAGTAGTTAAGGATTTGGGGGGTCAAAAGTGATACACAGGTTTTCAACTGCGAGGGGCATGGGGTCCCCTCGTCCCCCTGTTGTTCAAGGCTCAAGTGCAGTTCAGACTGACGCAGAGCTGGGATATATTACAGCCCGCTGCTTGCTACCAAGCCGTAAGACCACAGCATAAACACCCTGTGAAGGGTCGGCACCCTGGTTAGAAGCCGCCCACCTCAGTGTCACTAGGAGGATCTTTACACAGGAAAGACCAAACACTAAACTCATCCTCTCTTTTCCTCCTAGCGTGGAGCTGGACTTCAAGCAGCAAGAAGACAAACTGCAGCCCGTGCTGAGGAACCTCCACCCCTTCGAGGACGCTCAGGTCGCACCTCCTCCGCCTTACTCCCAGGAGCCTCACGCCTCGACCCCCAAGCAAAAATCCAAACCCGAATCCAAAAAGCACGGGCGATGGAAACTCTGGTTCCTTTAAAACCCATGGCGTTGGGAGTCTCAAGGCCGACTCTGAAACCCACGGGGGTCCCGTCAGCCCTTCCCCGAAACGAACGGACGTGAACCGTGGCCGACCCGGCGCCACCCCGTTCGCACCCCGCTTACCAAAAAGGCCTTCGTACTGATCGATCGTGAACAGGAGCCCGTCGGCCGACGCGGGCGGTGAAACCTGAAGTGACGCCGCGTCCAGTCAAGGGGACGCCTGGCCGTCCTGCCCCCACCCCAGGTCGGCAAGTCCCATGTCGTCACCCTGCGGAACGCGGGCGGTCCCTCTGTACACAGCCAGAACTCACGGCTATTTCTAAGCCTTTGTTCGTTTTTTTAATAACGAGAAGAAAAAGCAAGCCTTATGTTGGCAAAGGACTTCATTTTTACGTTTCCAACAAAGCAGGGGGCAGGCGCGACTTCCAGCACATCCGATTCCGGAGAAAGCACAATTTTTTTCAAGTGGTCAGAGACCATGAATACTCTCTCAAATGTGACTCTGTGTATATCTGCCTTCATGTGCTGTAGCGCTAAGCCAAGTGACCACATCACAGTGTCACATTGACACCTTAGCATCCTCCACACCTTCAGACCGGCAACATGTTTACCGCTCATTTCCAAACGGCCAGCAGCCCGAGTCTCCCAAAGTCAGGACATGGCTGGAATCACTGCGAGTTGACAGGGTCAGAGCTACTGGTCACTAAGCTTCCTTGGATCTCATTTTTAATCTTTTGATACCCAAAGTCCAAACGCTAAATTCTGGCAAGAATTCGAAAACACACATCGAAAGACACCGTGGGTAACGCAGCTGCCGATCAGTCACAGGCATTTTCTGCCGCCGGAAGGCGTTTCTGTGGATCAGTCTCTGAAACGATGTTCATCACCGAAGGCGCAGGCAGCCATCGTAGACAATGTGTCGTGCTTGGTGACACCTGTGGAAGACCTGACCACCTCAACGAGACACAGTGTGTGTGGTTTAGCGGCTACCATCCAACAAACGTAATATCACCTCCATTTAACCTATTAGTCAGCTGTACTCAACGAAATACCTAGGGGAAAAGCTGTGAATCAAATGTTTTTAGGTATTTTTTACAATAAACAGTGACACTTAGAGTTCTCTTTTGATTACACACTGCAATATAAATCTTAGTTCCTTTATTTTTTCACTCATTCCTTGGCAAGTATCTTTTTATACAAATCAAAGTCCCCTGATCTATGAATAACCTTGTCTATCGACGTTTGCTTTTCACAGTAGGACGCAGGGATCTTCTTTTGCCTTTTTTGTTTTGTTTTTGTACAAATGGAATTTTGAATAATTTGTGAACACATGAGGAAACCTAGTCTTCAAGTTGCTGTCTCACAGTCTCACCTCTAATCTAGTGTAGACATACACCTGTCATTGATCAGATGCCAGGGGCAGAGTGGCTCCCCTTAGGTCCTCTTCCTGAATTTGTCAGATCGGGGCTATTTCTCCCCCTGCGTTTCTCCTCCTGACTCGGCAGCAGACTGACTTTAGCTCTAAGTGTTTTGACTCTACAAGGACCTTGTAGTGATCAGCGATCAGATCTGAACCTGGAGAGTCTGAGGTGTAGACATCCTCTGGGGGTTGTTCCAGCTACACCACAGCTGTAGGTAATTCTTTCATTAAAAGAAAAAATAGGCCTCTGTTGAAACGATGCACAAGGATACAAATCCTTGGCCATCGGTAAACAGAATTGAGCAATATTTTTGTGCAAAAGAAGGACAAACAAGATGATCCTGTGACCCTGAAGGAAGTGCAATTGTGTCGTGGAGACATAAAGTTTTGAGAAATGTGTTCCATGTATTTTGTACTGTTTCTAACTAATGTTATAAAAATGTCGCAACGTTATTTCTCCGTGTTTTAAGGACTCCCAACTCTCTCCGTGAGCTGAAATAAAGATGTGAGCAGCCTTCTAATTAGTTCTATAAATCTGTCGACACACGAGGACATCCTGGTAAACAAAACAACATCCCTTTTCAAAAGCAGCCTAGATTAAAAAAAAAAAATTAATTTTCCGAGTCGAAAAGGAGACTGAAGATACATTCATTCCTATTTAAAAAATAAAACTGTCTTCAGAATAGGAAAACTATTTTCAAAGTCATTTCATAGTTTAATTGCAATGTGTCATTAACAGATGATTCTTCTCTTAGAAAGATTTAAGAACTTTGATACAAAAACCAAGGTAAAAGGTACAGTGTTCCCTCATATGTAGATGTGCCCACGGCATTCCGTATGGAGATTAAATTATTATACTTGTCACTAAGTTCTTTATTAATTTTCAAATAATAAAAAAAAAAACAAAAAAAACGAAAGGTAATGTTCTGTGTGGCTATTATACTTATTGCGTGGTCTGAGTTATTTGGGAAAATAGAAGTAAACTAGAAAACAGCAACAGAAGAAGGGCGTTCAGGCTGAAAAACCTTCATCGAGGTTCCGAGAGAGGAGACCACTACGAGGTGTGGGCACTGGCCTGGCCTGCCCGGCTGGGGGGGGGGGGGGGGGCTCACACTCCGGCTGGGACTCAGCTTACCAGACCATGCGCCCTGGCATGGGCTTCGGCCACCAGGAAGACGGGGTGACTTCTTGAGGATGCAGGGCACCCACCATACAGGCTCACAGTAGGGTCACTCACTGATGTCCAGTTTTTAAAGAACCTCAGACAACTGAACTCCCTGTTTCCAGGGAAACTCCTGCCATGGTCCCATGGAGACAGCTTCCCTGACCATCATCAATCAGGTCCCAGCCCCAGGGGACCAGCCACCTCCTCCCCTTCTTGTCCCCTCCTCTGGGTGGAACACCGACACCTCAGCTGGCTGAGGAGCACCCTCTCCTGCGGAGGCTAGCCCAACACTGACCCTTCTGAAGGAAGAGTTCCGCCAGGAAACCCAGAGGAGAAACCGTACCCCCTTTCCTGGTCTCTGCAAGGATGGAGGGCCGCCGTGGGCTGAGGCAGACAGCTCCCCCATCTCCCAGTTCCTCAGGGGGGAGAAGGGGCTGAGCAACTCCAGGCACAACAGTTTGTGAGACCCAAGACACCACCCACAGCAGCTGGGGAACCTGAAGTCACATCCACAATCACCGGTGAGTCCCCCCCACTGCTGTGCCTCTGAGGTCCTCAGCTGTAAAGGACACCCACTGGGCCACTGCCCACCACTCTTACAGTGTGCCACTACCCTCAAGAAGTCCCAAGGCCTGTGCCCTGTTCTGTGGACCTCAGACCCTCCCCCAGCTCCAGGAGAGTATAAAAAGGGCAGGTAATCAAGGGAGAACCATGCTACCTAATAAAGAAAGGGCCTAGGACGTGGGCAGAAGCTCCCCACGCTTCCTGCAAGGTTGCCAAGGTGACCACCACCACGGAGAGCTGAGGTGTGGTGGCAGTGCCCTGCAGCAGGCTGACCCGTCTCGAACAGGAAGTGAGCCCGCCGTGCCACACCGCTGTCCTTGGGTGCTAGCGTGGGCACGGCACAGGACGCGCGGCCCTCGGCCACGGCTCAGAGCACACTCCGCACGGAGAAGCGCCTGCTCTCTGCCTCGGAGACGCAGGACCAGGACCGGGGACAAGAAGAACGGAGTGCGGAGCGTGAGCGCCTCTGCGCCCCACTGTCCGAGACAGCCGCACTCCCCTGACCACCGCTGGGGACTGGGCGACCAGGAGCAGGGTCAGCGGCCGGTGACATCCGACCTGGCACGGGGCCGGCAGCTCCAGGGCACAGCGCCACCCTGAGCGAGCTGCTGTGCAGGCAGGTGCACGTCTCTCATCTGGACACCCCAGCAGGGGCCCACGGGGCGCAGGGCAGGTGTGGAGAAAGAGCGCTGCGACTCGGAAGCAGCGCCCCCTTCTGCGCATCCGCGTGCGCTCGGGCCGTGACGGGCAGATCTGGCAGAGAGGCTGCCCGAGAGCCGCACGTTGCCGGGTAAGCAGCTCAGGGACCAACGGGGCTGCCTTTGCCGTGCGGGATGAGCGCGCAGGGCTTGTGGCCTGTTTTGCCCAGGCAATGGCCGGGTTTCACGTCCTCCGCAGTGATGCCCCCGCCAGTGACCACCCTGGGCAATGGCCGGGTTTCACGTCCTCCGCAGTGATGCCCCCGTCAGTGAGCACCCTGGGCAATGGCCGGGTTTCACGTCCTCCGCAGTGATGCCCCCGTCAGTGAGCACCCTGGACAAACTGCGGGGCCCCGGGAATCTGAGGGAGGCAGGGAAACCCGTCGCACCATCGGCGGATAGAAGGGAACTTAGGAGGACATGCGTACCGGGCGGGGGTGACTTTCTGGAAGCCGCGAGCTCTCTAAGGCGGTTGACTGCCCAAGTCCCATGAACAACACTTGTTTTGTTTTGTTTTTATCCTCACCCGAGGACTTTTCCATTTTTTGTTCAAATAGAGTAGGAGGGAGGGGGAGAGGGAGGGAGAGAGTGTGTGAGAGAGAGAGAGAGAGAGAGAGAGAAACATCGACGTGAAAGGGACACATCGAGTGGCTGCCACCCGCACGACCCAACCAGGGCCGGGGACAAACTGCAACCGAGGTACGTGCCCTCAGCGGGAACCGAACCCGGGTCTCTCTGGACCGCAGGCTGATGCTCTAACCGCTGAGCCAAACCGGCCAGGGCCCATGAGCGACACTTTTGACAGCACAAGTATAGTACAGAGAATCAGACACTGTCCGTTTGAAAGTGTTAGAATGTATTACTTTCTTTTGCAGACAAAATTAAGAACAGCCTTTTTTGAAAAGCACAGCCATTCGTGAACTCCACGAGAACAGACATCACAAAGTGCGTGTTCGTGCAGAGACATCCCGTCTTTGAGCAACTGTGACAGTGTTTTCCAAGGGGAGCAGCACTTGGGCCCTCGCGGACCAGGACCACCCAGGCCCGAGGACAGCACTGGGTTTCCCTCGCGGTGCCCTCCCCAGACGACGCTGTTGTCACAGTGAAACCTTCCCGCCCCCGCGGCGTCCCGCTGCCGACACTGGAGTCCAGTGGGTCAGGAGGCCTGGCGGGCACACGGGCCAGTGGACGATCCAGGCAGAGGTGCCCTTCCTAAGCCTGCTTCTGAGAGTTCTCCACGGCTCAGCTTCCTGGGCAAAGGCCCGCCTTTTCCTTCTAGTCAATCGGTCGTTTGTAGTCTTGTGGTGTGTATCCAGGCCACAGAAAAATCTAAATGTCCTTCTCACGCAATTACATTTTTAAAGGACCCATTAGCGGAAGGTAAACCCGACCATTTAGAAGTGGCAGCTAATATCGCAGAAGGAATATTCCTGCGTGTTTGTCATTTCACATGCTCTCAACCCAGCTCTGCTCGTTCCAGCAGACACCCTGGGGGGGCCGTCGCCCACCTAACCACGGCTCAGGCCACCTGTCCACCAGGCAAGAGCACCTGAACCCACCACGGCCACCTGCGGAGAGCTTCCCCAAAGTCTAAGAGGACCGCCTAACACTGAGGGCCCAGACACCTTTTCAAACAGGAACAGAAAAATACAGTCTGAAATCCGACAGTCTGACAGTAAGCCCTTCACTCGGTCACTCTGCAGCGTGGACTACACTGCAGTGAAGATAAAACAGCATCCTGAGTGGGCAAGATTCACGCCAGCCTCCTCGCTACACCAGGCCTGAGCCAGGGCCCCGCCCCATCCATGGCTCCACACCTGCCAAGTGGCGTTTGATTGGTTACAAAAAAAAGTGTGATCCTGAAGATCATGGCGTATTTTTCTTCCAAGTATAAGATGTTTTCCAAGAGCCCATTTCAAACAGAATGTGGACAGATGGAAAATACACTGAAACAAATGTTAGACAACCAACTCAAAGTGCTTCATGAAACCCGGACGCAGCCCAAAGCAAGGCTTCCGTGGTGTGCCCAGGCTCACCCCAGGACGCGCGACGCCCCGGGGTCTCCGTTCCACGCAGGACGCGGGACAGCCCGGCGTCTCCGTTCCACGCAGGACGCGGGACAGCCCGGCGTCTCCGTTCCACGCAGGACGCGCGACGCCCCGGGGTCTCCATTCCACGCAGGACGCGGGACAGCCCGGCGTCTCCGTTCCACGCACAGGCAGACAGGGAAAATGCCAGACCCAACAGCCTCCCCCGGACCAACTCCGTGGAAAAAGAGGTCCCGTTTTTAGGATGGTTGCTGGCAGGATCGCGGGGTCAGTCAGGAAGAGAAGCGCATCTATTCAAAACACTTGTATCCCCTTAAAAACGAGGAACAAGCACAAAAGAACTGAAACCCCTCTGACATAGAGGGATGTCAGCGCTCCCCCAAACCAGGTCTCCAGACCCTTCTCTGGGCTTTTTCCAGTTCAGAAGGCCCACCCGCCCCCCGCCACCCCCAGCACCTTTCTCTAACCTAAACTCACAGAGCAACAACAGGGACTCGGGGATGAGACACCAGGAAGTGAAGGCGCACACCTCCATCTGAGCACAAGGTCGCATGCAAGGGCAAACCCAGCCTTCAGGGGAGCATCCTGCCGCTCCGTGGCCACCACGAAGGGACGCCTGGTCCCCCGAGAGCAGAAAGAGCCCTCTCTACAGCCCCGACTTCCAGTGGCAAGTGCGCGTCCTGAAAACATCCCAGGCTGCGGGCTCCTTAAACAACTGCAGCCCATTCAGAACTGCTTTTCTGAGATCCACCCTGGGGCAGCCTGGCTGGTCTCACAAATGGGATTTCTGAACTCCTACAGATACCGCCGAGGTGGGGCTTGGAAGGTGTCCGCTTGGGACCCAAATCCACGCCCTGCTTTGGAGACTTCGGTGGGAAGCGGCCGGATGTGGGCCGTTCGCCTTGGGCCGCTGCCAGCTGCTCAGCGGGAAGTAGGCCACAGCTGGGTGAGACCAAGTACGGTCCTCCCTGTCATAACCATCCTCAGAAAGTGCCAGAGCAGCCAAATTTAAGAATAATGAAATGAGGAGGAAAGTGGTCCACTCTGGGGAAAAATGGTGCCATAATACACATTTTATATTATTCTCAGATCCCATTCCAGGCCTCTACGATCTGCAAGAAGAAACATCTACCGGGCATCAGAGCAGAAGCAAACGGCTACGTTGGAGCACCTCGGCTACGTGCCAAGGTCTCTCGTCACGTGTTAGTCATGGCATCTTCCACGTAAACTGAAGAAAGAAACCTCCAGAAGGATGAGGACTGAGAAGAAAGCACACATCCTTCTCTGCCCCGAAGCGCGGCCGGCTCACCGTCCACCTCCGACGCTCGTGGCCAAGGGGCACCGCGCGCACAGCAGAGGCAACGGAGGCACCTCGCCCGCGCGGGGCCACAGCAAAGTGGGCTTAGTTTCGAAAGACAGTCGGAAAAGGACCCGATGGAGTTTCAGGCTGGAAGGTAAATGCCATTCCTGGGAAAGAGGCGCTGGGCACAACAGAGCGGCCACGCGCTGCCACTGGGCACTTACGATGAGCTCGGAATCCCGCCCCATGGAGATGACCGTCCTGTTCACCGTCCGGAGAAGCTTCTCCATGATGATCTGGACGTGCCTCTGAGTGGGACCCTGCGGGAGGACACACGGGTGTGAACCAGCACCCAGAACAGTCGGGAACACACAAGCCCTGGGCTGTGACTGCATCCACTTCCCCTGGAAACCGAATCGAGGCCAACCCTTCCGAGATGAAAAATGGTCCTTGTCAAAGGCAAAAGCGTTCGCAAAGCAAACTCAAGCCATTTTATTAATTACCGTCCATTAATGATATTTGTTATATAATCACGGTAATTTAAGCAAACCTTAAAAATGAAAGCAAGCCTGTTTAAACAACATAAGGTTAATGATTCCTGATTAGTCCTGATTAGTCGTTTCCGGAGGCGCTGGCCCTCGAGGAGGAGGCAGGCAGATGCCAGCGAGGGGCGCTCCACAGGTCAGCCTGCGACGGGGGAGCAGCGCTCAGAGCAGAATGCTTCCACGCCGGTTATAAACGACCTACACTCGTGCAGCCGTAGGACTTCCTCTCGGTACAAATCTGCGCTTCTGCTTAGCGTGACATGGGATTCTCGATTCTTCTGCATGAGCTCTGAACGTGTATAAAAATGTTCTCTAGCCCAGCCGGTGTGGCTCAGTGGTTGAGCGTCCACCCATGCACAAGAGGTCACGGGTTCGATTCCCGGTCAGGGCACATGCCCAGGTTGTGGGTCCAATTCCCCAGTGGGGGGCGTGCAGGAGGCAGCCAATCGATGTTCTCTCTCATCAATGTTTCTATCTCTCTCTCTCTCCCTACCTCTCTCTCCCTCTCCCTTTCTCTCTCTCTAAAAAGCAATAAAGAAAAAATATTTTTTAAAATATGTTTTCTAGTCACATTCGCACAAGCCCAGGACAGGTGCCATCTCCTCAGTGAGGTTTGGCCATACCAGACTCTGGCATTTTCTCCAGTAAGATCAGGGCAAGCCCTGGACTGGTACCAGTGGAGGCTGCCCTGGGTGAAGCCATCACCACTGAAAATGAATTTATCTGATGTCTACCTCTGAGGGCACTAACTAGCTCAGAGAAGGAGCCAGGGCAGGAGGAAGTGGGCAGGACGTGTGTGTGTGTGTGTGTGTGTGTGTGTGTGTGTCTGTGTGTGCATGTTGACTGGGAAGGTGTCTGGAGGTCATGTGGGATAGAACTAAGAGCCACCCCCTGCCCTGGCTGGTTTGGCTCAGTGGTTAGAGCGTCAGCCCGTGGACCAGAGAGTCCTGGGTTCGGTTCCTGCCAAGGGCACGCACCTCGGTTGCAGTTTGTCCCTGGCCCTTATTGGGGTTGTGTGGGTGGCGACCACTTGATGTGTCTCTCTCACATCGATGTTTCTCTCTCTCTTCCTCTTTCCCTCCCGCTCTATCTGATGATAAATGCAAAAAAAAAAAAAGAGCCACCCTTGCTGACCTGAAAATCCAACCAGTCTGTCCAGTGCTTGGGCAGACCACCAAGGCCTTGCACACGTTTCCAGACACCCCTGGAGAACCAATGATGTCACATGTGTACACGTGTGTGTGTGTATGTGTGTATATATCTGTGTGTATATATATATATACACACAGATATATACACACACATATATATATAGTGGGTACACTGGGGATGGGGAAGCTTAGGGTCAGACTTCTCCATGTGTATGCAAGTAATGATTAAGGGAAAGGGTCCATGGAATAAGCATGCAATTTAGAAATGCAAAAGGAAATACCATTTAAAAAAAAAACCCCAAAACCCAGCTAGGGGAGCCTCAAAAGAAATTACTCACGGGGGAGGAACCGGGGGCAGAGGCAGAAATCCGCTCTCCTCCAAACTCTCAGAAGCACCGTGACATAAAAGCGAACAAACGATGTGCGTGTGTTACTGTGACCCAGTAAGAACTGAAGGAAAGGGTGCCGGCCACGGCCCTCCATTTGCTCATTTCCCACTTTTAACCCCCAAGCCTCTGTCTGACGTTGAGAATTAAAATCGAAGTCTGGGGAGGCTTGTAGCTGGGATGGTACAGGAAAGAAACTGAAATATTTTTATCGGGGAAGAATAAACATTGTGGTGTAATTAGCACCTTAGACATAAATAAAAGTAATGTGCGGGCACAAGTTTACAGAGAGAGGACAACCCTCAAATTCAAGGCCAGGGCTTCTGGAGAGAACCCACGTGCCCCGGCCCCCCGGCAGGGCCTGCGTGAGCCCCGGACCCGGGCGCAGCCGTCACTCACCACGTCCCTCCTGTACAACACCTCCAGCATGTCGCTCAGCAGCTGGCAGCAGGCCTCCAGGTCCTCCTGTCTCTCCAGATGGTACTTGAGCTGGTCTGTCATCATGGGCAGCAGGATCTCTCTGCAGTCTGCGGAGACACGGGGTTGCCCGTTAGGAGGGGGCCCAACAAGACAAAGCTGGTGCTTGCTAGGAGCCTGTTTCCGGAGCGCGTGACAGGGTGCTCCAGGACGGGACATTTACATTCTGCCACCTGACCTCTGGGGGCGGCAGTTCACGGACGAGGAGGAAATCACTTCCATGGCTACGTGGACATTTACGCACAGCGACACGGGTAAGTGACGTGGGTGTCTCTAAATACACGAGAATTCGCAAACATGCTGCCGTCCCCGCCTCATCCCCCACGTCGCTTACAGGGTTCCAGTTACCCCGACTCAACCACGGTGCGAAAATAATCAATGGAAGATTCCAAAAATAAACAAGTCACACGTTGCATACTGCACGGTGTTCTGAGCCGTGTGATGACCCTTTGAACAGTGCTGCTCTGTCCGCCTGGGCCGGGAATCGCCCCCCGTCCGGCGTATCCTCACTGCACCTCACGTCACGGTAGACTGTTATAACTGTTCTAGTTCATTAGCAGTTACTCGTGGTGTTCTCTTACTGTGCCTAATTTATAAACTAAACTATATCATAGGTGCGCATGGATAGGAGAAAATACAGTATATACAGCATTTGGTACTAGGATCCCCTGCACATAAGATAGAATTACGTACATGCATGAAAACATATAAACACATATCCCCCATACTGTACACACGGATACGAACTCAAATGCACGCTGAGATTTTAACTAATGTTGTGGGCCTATAAATTCAATGATGTGCAACTTTGAAAGAAATACTTCTTCCAACCAAAATGACTTGAACTGTAGCTCTTCTCATTCATCCCCGGGAGGCTCAAAGCACAGCTTCCTTCTGCTCAGATGCCACCACCTCCTAAAGGTCTCTGAGCTCCATCGGCCCGCAACCTGCTAGACTCTCCATTGTCTGGACTCACGTTCTGCTGGGCTCGCCCCTGGGGGACAGTGGGCAGAGGACCAGAGCTCAGGCTCTGGGAGCACGTGGTCTGACTTCAGATTCTGCGGCTTCCTAGCAGCATGACTGTGGGCAGCTCGGTCCCCTCTCTGAGCCTCAGTGTCCTCATCTGCAACATGGGCACGACGCAGAGGCACAGTGACTCCCACAAGGCTCACTGGAAGGTCAGGGCCAGGTGCAGGTTAGAGGCTCAGGACAGGGGACTCCCTTTCATGACGCAATACCAACGCGACCAATGAGCCACAGCCTCGCGCTGGCCGCCCAGATGCCTGAGCTGATGCATCAGCACGAGAGGGAGGGAGCATGGGGAGCCGGCATTGACCTTGCAGGGGAGCCAGGGGCCTCCTTCAGGGTGCAGTGTTTCCTGCACCTGCCGGCAGGAAGAAGAGGAATTTGCCACATGGGGCAGCCATGGGGGGGGGGGGAGGCCCAGGAAAGAGACCACAATGTACAAAGTCAGGGAGACCGGAGCAATGATGAGGAGGGTGAGGGGACAAAGGGAAGGGGGTGGGTAAATTTCATCATGAATATGATGGGTGAGGCGGGCGGGGTGGGAACCAGAACCCTGGAGATGTGACCAGACAACAGCCTGGAGAGAAACTCTGTGATGCCAGCAAGCAGGCAGTGGAGACGGGGCCCCGAACGGGCCAACTGGCTACTGCAACCATCCAGGCAGGAAATAGCAAAGGCCTGTGCTCCTGCTGCAGAAATGAGTTTGCAAAGAGAGGCCTGAGCCCGGCCGGTGTGGCTCAGTGGTTGAGCGTCGACCCTGCACCAAGAGGTCGCAGGTTCGATTCCCGGTCAGGGCACATGCCCAGGTTGTGGGCCTGATCCCCAGTGGGGGGCGTGCAGGAGGCGGCCAGTCGATGTTCTCGCTCATCGGTGTTTCTATCTCGCTCTCCCTCTCCCTTGCTCTCTCTCTAAACTCAACAAAGAGAAAACAAAGTTTAAAACGGAAAGAGGCCTAGAAAAGGGCAAACTGAGCAGGCTGCCCACACAGCTGGGTGATGAGCTGAGCGGTGGGTGGGGTGTGGGCTGAGGCTCGGACACCACCCCAGCCTCCTGCTGACGAGCAGGGGAGGGCACTGGGAGAAGACGTGTGTTTCAGGAGAAGTTGACCAGGGCTTGGGTTGGGACAGTTCGGGTCGCCTGCTGGATACCCACGTGACCCCAGCGAGTAGGCGACTGGGGAAAGGGCTCCCGGGCCGGAGGGGGTTTCCGGCTGAGAAGCACAGGCTGGAGAGCCGCCGTCTGGGCCAGTAGTGAAAGCAAGCGCGCGGGTGAGCCTCTCCGTGGGGAGCGTGCCGAGGGAGAAGGAAAAGCCCTGAATGGATGAGGACGGAGGTGTTGGGACAGGCTTGGAGGACGTGAAACAAGCCCGGAGACGTGGAAAGAGGCAGGGGTAGGTGAAGGTACCCCAACCAGGACAGTCAACGTGGCCATGTGCGGCCAGACGCGTGGACGAGGACCGCTCAGGACGCTGTGAGAGCCCAGAGACCCCTCCCCTGGGCAGCTCCCTGGGTGGTCTGAGCAGAAGTGCAGGGGAGGAGCAGACGCCCGTCCTGAAGCAGCAGCTGTAGAGCAAAGGGACGCTGGGCTGTGAGGATCCCAGAGATCACTCAGGTTTCCGTGTGCTCTTCACACCGGAGCAGAGAAAAGGGTGTTCAGAAAGTTAAAGAACACTAAGGAAACTGATACAAATGAGACTGCAGATGAAATGCCATTACTGGGCGGCTTCCCACTGGGGAGCGCCAGGCAGCGGTGGCGCTGCCCCTCCGGCACGCACTCCGCGTACAAGCCGGTCCGCGCGCGGAGCCGGCCCGGCCAGCGTCTTCCTCGGTGATGCCGAGCAGGCGGCCAGGCGGCAGGGTGCTGAAACATTAACTGCACGCGCCTTGTTGTTAAGATTTCACATTTCGGGACTTGCAACATTAATGAGACACAGAAGCATGTTTCGCATTAACGTTTCCTGACTGTTTTTTACTATGAGAGAAAATGAGCACGCAGCCTTGGAAAGGCTCCTGTGAGTACGCGCACACGCACTCAGGAGACTTTCCCAAGGCCGGCGGTCAGGAAGGCCGGCGTGGGCAGGCGGGGGCGGGCGCAGCCTGGAGGAACCCGGAGGCAGAAACGCACAAGCCCTCCTGCGCCACTGTGTTCCGGGGGCTGAGGCAGGAGGTCACACTCAGACTTTGGCAAACTCCATTTAGATGTATTCCCCAGGAAAGGCTTGATGACAACCACATTTATGCAGAAAGAGTTTTGTCCAATGCATATATGAAATCACTTGTCGACTTCTTAATTACAATAATCAGCACTCCGGCAGAATGAATGCATGAGAGGCTACCGTGTCCTAGAGCATAGCCCAGGGAGAAGGTGCTGTCACGGGAACAGTCCCTCCGAACCTGTGTGCCTGGATGCCGGGGGCCCTGGGAGGATCACCCCACCTTCCCACCCAGCCCCTCCTATGATGCCGCTGGATGAACTCAGGCCCCCATGGTGAGCGTCTCCCCAAAAGCTACAAGCCCTTGGACTCATGCAGGACGCCTGTCTATATAGGAGGGTACAAAGATGGCAGAGCCAGTCAAAGGACCACCCCCCAAAAAAGGGCCTTAGAGCATTGAAGCCAATCTCAACATCCGCCCCAAATGCTAACCCACTGAATCCGTGAATCCCACCAACACCCCGAAGCTCAGTGTCGCTCCAACAGGATCTTCACGTTTACAAAGCACATCACCCTCACTAGCCCTTGACCTGGGATCTGAACCTCACACAGCATCTGCTGTAAGGGACCAGCAGGCTGAGAAGCTCCCTCGGCAGACCTATCCGAGTCCTGCCTGCTCATGTCCACCCTTGCTGTCCCCAGCAGGACATCTCCAGATGCGTCCTCACACCCTTCCACCTGAAGCACAATGCCTGGTGGTGTGACCGCCCACCCTCAGCGGGGGCAAATTCCTGGCCGCCCCATCCACTGTGGGTCATCCCTACCCACGGCCACCCTTCAGAAGGACATGCCAAATTCCCAGGACATCTCAGAGGGAGCAGTTAGGACCAGGAAGAGCTGAGCAGGAACAGAGAAACCAGGACAACGCGACAAAGGAAAACAAATCACTGTGGAAGTTGGGCAAGGCTGCCCTGGGCAAGCTTAAGAGGGACCAACAGAGGCAGAAGGCCTGGAGGGCTGGCCGGTCAGGGTGGCAGGAGGTGTCCCTGCGCAGTCCTATGTACCCAGAGGAACAGTTCCAGGCTCAGTGTTGGCAGGAACAGCCGTTCAGGCCCTGGCAACCAGCTGCTCTGGCTGATGTCCATCCCTCTCCGCCTCCCTTATCTGTCACGCTGGACAGGCTGCAGTGGACACATTGTCTTTGGGTTTCTGAGCGTGTCGGGGTCATTCGTCACAATCCCTCCAGGCGAAGGAGGTGATGGCTGCCCTGTCCATCTTCAGTGGGGAGATGCTATCAGCCGTGTGTGGCTACCTGGTGGGAACGCCCTCTGCCTCCAGCCCGGGGTCGGCCGCTGGTTACCAAGCCTCCCCTGGTCAGAAGCAGCAGAGCTGCTGGCAACCTCACTGACAGCATTTCCTCCTCTCAGCACGAGAACGTAAAATGCACGTGTTACAACCCGCCAGACAGACCTGTACTCACAACCTGGACATTGTCAGTGTCCACCCACCGATGGCCGGTCCAGGCTGAGTGGGGACGTGGGGTAAGCAACCTTCGCCAAGAGGAGGAAGGGAGCCGATGCTTGCAGAAGGACACTGTAAAAGCAGTCACCATGCCAGGGTGGAGGGCCACCCCCAGCCCAAGGACAGAGCTCCAGCCCCGAAGCATACATGACCCCAGGACCAGATCGCCGGGGGCCCAGGCTCTCCTCCAAGGCCACACTGACCACACCGGCATCTCAGGCAGGCCTCCAAGGACAGAGGGTCGGAGGGGCAGCAGCACCATTCAGAAATATGTCCCAGGACCCCAAAGCGAGAACGGCAACGCCCAGAGTCCTTCAGAGACACTGGGAGGACCGAAGCCGAGGGCACACA